TTCCAACCTCCAAATGTGTCTTTTAAACATCTTTTATTTGAGAGTTGCGAATCCTCATGATTTCCATCCTGGGTTGATTTGGTGACACCCTATCTGCTAACATTAATATAGAATGTAATTTAATACTCTCAAGATACTTGGTGGCGAAACACAGAGTAGTCTGCAAACAGTGGCCGTTTCTCAATCGCGAGGAAACTGGCTTCCAAGCCTATATTTCAAGGATACTACGTCATCGAGTGCCGCCGAAGGACTGTTCCAATCCCCAGCATACTTGGAATTCCACCGAGGCCGCGCGTCCTTGGTTTTGGGTGGTAATTTCGAGTCTGCACATGGGTAGACTTCACGTCCTTCAAATCCCCACAATGCTTTGCGTACGGACCAATTTCCCCAAATCTGTGGCGGAAAATGTAAGGCAGGGCTCTCATTATGACGCACACACCTGCACACTTGCTAGCCTGTTCCACTCTTCGTTTTCCGATTGCCAGGAGGGATTCTTGCCTAGCTTCTGAAGGAAGTGACTCGGAAGACATGTGCTACCAAGCAAGCATCCTCACGATTGAGAAAACGGCCAGTGAGTGTTAGGAGAAACGTTTATATGTTTATTGCATTTTATTTCAAATGAAAATGTTAACAAAACTCTGAGATAATAAAGCCTTCTAACTCTTTCTAACTAATGCCTTCAGGTAAAAACTTTACTAAGTCAAATAAATTAGATTTTAATCCAAATACCTGTTAAATGTTTACCATTCCATGGTGAACACGGTGATTTGTACACCTGCTTCACATCAGCCTGTTAGCATTGTCATTGTGTCCTGTTAGCATTTAGCTAAAAGCTTGGCATAAGTACACTACATAAATAAGCATTGGTATTGGTAGCATTGCTGTAAACTCTTTTTTGTAAATGTGTCTTTATGATTGAATATGATTCATTTGTTTTTCAGGACAGTGCGCCCTTTCTTGTGGAGCCACTTCAAACTAAGCGACCATCATCAGCAGGCCCCGGAAGAGACAGTTTATCTAATGGTAAGAGATCACCATCCAGGGTGATAAAAACATCCACAAACAATTGGAAATGAATACGATGATGCACATTTAAAAGTATATACATCTTTTCTACATTTTATATTGTTGTACAAATCTAGTTTGAACATACTTATAAATATTAAAGAAATTGTTTGATTTCATAATTTTGATTCAGATTTCTCTGAGTCTGGAGAGTAAAACATATAAAGACTCTTTCTGCGGTGCAATAAATATTTAGATTTAATTTACATAGAGCTCGTTTCACGTAGGGCTGCTCAATTAATCGTATTTTAGTCGCGATTACGATTATGGCTTGCAACGATTACGAAAACAACGTAATCTAAATAAAACGATTATTTTTTTATTATTATTTTTTTTAAATACTTTTTCAGTTGAATTATACTTAAAGTTCAGGGTAATCAACTGTTAAAAACATACTGTTCAAATGTTTTTCTCCAATAAATGGATGTTTTCAAAGTCAATGAATAATCGCATTTAATAATCGCAATTACAATTATTGACCCAAATAATCGAGATTATGATTTTTGCCATAATCGAGCAGCCCTAGTTTCACGCATAATATTTAAATATGGACGTGGTTTCCACTGTTGCAACCATTCTGACCTGACTAAGACAGTATGATTACATCTGTTTGGCGTGGAGTAAGTGTGTGTTTAGACGATGTTACTTTTTCCTGATTCACGCTGTCTGTCAGATAGCTTTGCACCGACATGATCTGTGTCTGATTATTATTTTCGACAGAGAGTTCATCACTACCTGTTGAGCCACAGCCTATGGAGCCCTGTGTAATGGATGAACAACTACAGAGAAATCCAGAGACACGTGAAGAAGAATTAACAGTCCAGCATCAGGAAGAGGTAGAGGAGGAAACAAGGAGGGGAGAGAAGAGACACACCGAGCCAGAGGAGACGGGTGAGGAATCCTCTGTGCCTAAGAGGGTCTGCTTTGAGCAGACAGCACAGCCGACCTCTGAAACATGCGCACTGAGCTCTAAATCTGCAGACTGTGTCTCCGAGCCAGCTCCCAGAGAGAGGAGGGACATAGTCTCTGTAGAGACTGTTCCCATTGCAGGAGAGTGCTTACCAACAGAAGATGAAACAAACAGGGGTGAAATCAACATCAGAGAAACTGACTGTGAGATGGAGAGCAGCGGGGATGAGATGATTGCTGTGGACGGAGAACCTGAAGACTCGGACACTTCACCTCAGACTCTGTCACATTGTGTTGAAGCAAAGCTTTCACTTTCACCCACTTCACTTTCAGCAACAGAGTTCAGTCTGACGTCGACAGGAAGCTGGGAGGATGACGAGGACGTCGATGTGGTTGGCGGTTCCAGTCCCGCCCCTGATCCCGTGCTCTTCAGCTGGACAGAGTGCTCAGAGGTTGAGGAAGAGGAAGGAGACGACGATATTGACGTTGTGGGAGACAATCCAATCTACACTTCATCATCGCTACTGTGAGGTGAGCTAGTTAACAAGGATCGTCACACTCGGGTGCTTCACAAGCATCTGTCAGGTTTTTTTCGACTTGTCTTCTCCAGTTCATGTTATTTGATTTCATGGAAAAACATTACTGAATTGTTTTCATTTAGCTTAAAGCTGAAGATAAATAACGTCTAATTATAAATGTCTGACAATCACGTGAGAGATTTGTGAGCTACTTGTTGGCTATCTGTTTGGATTTAAAGACAAAAAAGCAAACATGTGCATCATAACGCATGAAGGCACTTACATCAGCAACAAAAAAGAGGACTGAAGTTCATATGCACTTATTCAGTTCCTGAGTTGAGCTAACCATGACTTTTTTATTCTTTCGAGGTATTAAGCAGTTGATTTTATGTAAAAAAAAATATTGCTGTTAAGTTCAGTAATTTTATGTTTACTAAGCAGAGATATTCATCATAGTTTGTTTTAACTGCAGAAAGTGAGAAAAACAGCGATATAGAAACAGTTTAGAAAGAGATGCAGTGCAAAAACAATCAAAGTGTGTTTTAGGCGAGTGTTTTATTACTTATAATTATGACTATTACTGTTTTAGTTGTAAAAATGTTGACAATATTAGCCTTTGTTAGTTGGAAATGTTCCAGGAAACTTCTGTATTCCTTGTTTTACTGTTACGTTGTGTTTGGTAATGTTCCTTATGGCTCTTTTGAGCCTGGACTGATTTCTAGAATAAAGGTTCCTCTCTACTTCCTGCAGAGGCTCTTTTCTGTGACTCTACATGCACTTCACTCAAAATGGTTTCACCTTTGGGGTGTGGATTTTTTTTTATGTACAAAGAAATGTAAAATACAAACACAACGTGTAAGTAAATAGGTCCAATGATACTGGTGTGTAAGTAGCACGTTTCTTTATGCTGCATATTGCCAAAACAGCAATTGTGAATTTAATAAGATTTTATGTATTTGCAGCATTTTTGCTAAACGCAGAGTGAGGAATATATTCTCTCCTTTCTTTACGTTTGTCTATTTACATGTTTTTCCTAAATTCGCACTGCTTCCAGCTCTCTCTGCCGACACACTGAAAAGTAAAGATTATGCATGTCCTTGTGATGAATGAAACTGAAGATGTTTCTTCTCTATCCTGTTATTTTCCCAATTCAAAACATTTTTTTAAGGGGTTTAAAGTTAATCATATTCAGACTTGAAAAGAATGGTTTCAATTACAACTGAACTCCTGACTTGAAAAAATAAACTATAAAGTGTGTTTCATCAAAACATAATAAGAAACTTATCCAAATGCTTTTGAGAATGTATAGACATTTAGATAGTTCTTCCTCTTTGTGTGTATTAAAACCCTATGCAAACCCTTTTCTTTAAATCTTTAAAACCTACAGGTGGTGTTTCATGCTGCAAAGAGAGTACATTGTATTCATCATTCACACTTTTATAATAAAAAAAGAAGACATGAAGTGAAATGGAGTTTATTAGTAATCAACCTCCTGCACACAACAACACATCTGAGCTGCACTGAGGAGACTGGGTGCTGGGGGGGCTTTCTCTCATGTCTTCATGTTGAAGCTTCACCTCCCCTCTGTTCAAGCTCGCTGAGGATTCACTCTACTCATCGCCCAGCTCAGGTAAGGAGTACAGCGCAGGTGTTTGTGAGTGCGTCGGAACCTCTAAACCAAGTAAAAAGACCCTATGAGTGTCAGCGTGTCTGTATCTGGAGCATGTGTTTCCCTGTGCTTTTACAGTGTGATATTTTCTCTTATCACACTCTGGCAGCATTGGTAAAGGGGGCGGCTGTTGCATCTCAAGTCAAGAGGAAGGAAAGGATTGAAGAGGGGGATAAAGAAAGAGGAAGGGGTTTAGAGGGGTCGAGGGGTGTCTGTCTCTGTCTCGGTCTGCCTCTTAGTGCTGGATGCGCCTGATGGACTGGATCTGGGGGGTCTGACAGTGGGACCCCCAGTTCTTCCAGTGCTGGTAGTCTCCGCTGTGCCTCTCACACTCCATGATGTACTGCTGGCCCCTGTATCCAGGGTGCTGGTAGCACACAAAGCTGCAGGAGAAACAAACAACAGTTAGTGGGAGTGGTGACGAGTGGGGGGATTTAGGACATTTAGCTTGTGTGTTTAATACATAAACTATGTGCAGGTTTATTTGTACATTTATATTTTGGTAGCCAGATTTGAAATGGATATTCAAGTGTAAATATCCTTGGAAGTGGAGGAGCATTTCGAGTATGTCCTGATAAAATGCATCCCATCAATCAGGTTCACTTACGCGCCGCACTGCACGTGCATGGAGCCAACCTCTGGCATCATCCAACCCATGGCCTGCAGAGAGGGGTAGTCGTCACAGATCTCAGAACTGCGGCCCATGAAGTTCTCCTTCTCAAAGATGAGCATGCGACTGCTCTGGTGGGACTGCATGGGGGGGGAGAAAAAGTTTGACTTTGGAATCCCCGGGTAAAGGTCAAATGTCACCTGAACACTAAGAGATAGGATGTACTCACAGCGCAGAAGATGGGGCGCAGAGACATCAGACGCTCCACGTGGTAGGAGAGGGAGCCGCTGTAAGCGTCCCAGTGGGGGTACTCTCCCCTCTCCAGGATAAACTGCTGGCCCTGGAAGTCGTGGTGCTCAAAACCCACCCAGCTTATCAGAGAGAGAGAGAGAGAGAGAGAGATGTTATCATCACTTCACTGTATGGCCATCTGAAGAGCCATCTAATTTAGATCCGGGTGTAATTAAATTCGGACTATGTCACAGGGATGCTCTATTAAATCATGCAGCTCAAAAGCATTTTATTTCCAAAATAGGCTTTCTTTCATTCAGAACAAAAACAATTCAGCCCCTTTGCATAGTCAACAACATCATGTTCTTGGTGCTTAAAGCGTCCACATGACTCCTCTTTATCTCCTCTTGTTGTTTGTAATGATTAATCAATAGAAAACAAAGGGGGATAACAGTTTTACTTGACTATATTTCATTAACATGTTGTACTGTCAGAACACTAATTCTAATTGTTAACAGTGTAACATGTTTGAGACACTTACGCTCCGCTCTCCACCCTGATGGAGCGGATGTTGTCCAGTCCACAGTCCTGGATGTTGCAGCACTCAGAGGTGAACTCCAGGCACTTGCCCTGGAAATGCTCCTGCTCGAACACAGTCACCTGAGGGAGACAGAGGATAAGAGGCATCAAGTTACAAGAAGTATGTTGGCAATACAGTTGTATAAAGGGTATCCTCCTTTAGCTTTCAGCATCAAGCAGAATCTTTGCTCAAATGTGAGTGTTTACCTTGAAGAAAGGAGCCATGCCCATACCAGAGTTGACCAAAGGCTGCATCATTGGGGATCTTGTAGTTCTGTACATCTTTACTCCTGAGATGTAAATTTAAAAAAAACAGCACCTTTAGAGACTTTTTTAAAAGCATAAATGATTTAACAATGAGATATTCCACACTGTTTCTGCACAATTTGTTGTAGTGTTACATTCTCACTTCTAAAGGCACACCACAAATCTCTGTATAACATTCAAGCGGTACAAGTCCCCAAAAAAATCTGAATTTAAACATCTGGAGGCCAGAAATGGTTAATATACCTTCTTGTCTTTCTATCTTTTTTAAATTTTGAAAACAATCTGAAACTAAATTCAGATTAAAATTAAGGTGTTGTACAGGTGATTCAGAAAGTGCTTTTGTTTTTTTCAGTGTCTGCGTGAAGCACCTGGGGTTCATCTGTCTGTCTGTCTGTGTCTGTCTGACTCTGAGCTGTATGAGAGCAGAAAGCATCCTTACCTAGATTGGCACTTTATTGGAAGAGCTTGAAAGTGATACGCCTACGGCTTGCCTCGCGTAGAGCTTTGCGTGAACCTGGCGCCTCATTTTTATACCGACGGTCGGGGAGCGCGCCTGCTGTTGCGCGTTCACGGCTCTGGTTAGACCTATGGGTTAGACCCGGCAGTGAGGCGCGCCCCCGGGTTGGCTGCGTGTCCGCTGCATGCCGTTGTCCTGCTTCAAGGCCAGCTCAGCACATCCCATAGTGCTGCTGGGGCTGCGGAACAAAGGCGCTCCGGTATGTTCGGACCCCGGTCAGCAGTCCAGCCCGTGCCCCGGCACAATGGGCCTGGGTGGGGTGGAGAATGTGGGGATTAACGGCGGAGTAGAGAGGCAGTGATACACAGAAGAAGATAACTGGTGTGTCTTTATATGAGAATAGAAAGGCTAGATAACTATAAAGTGAATTTCCGTGCTATTTGTTCAAACAATGAAGTCTAATTTACAACAAACGATTTAGTGCGTGTACCTTCATAGGCTACACCTGTTTGCACACAGATCTGAGATCTGGTTATGTCAATGGTGTAAAAAGTGGAGAACAACGTGCTTGTGCTGTGATGACAAACTGTTGTTTCAAAGTTTCCCTGCAGTCACATTTATCCAATTCTAAATTAAAACAAACGTGCCAAGATTATGAATATTATGGTTTCAAACCTCTGTGTGGGGGGGTTCCAGGTGAGAGGTTTAATAACTGTAATAACCCAACAAAAAATTGGGACTATTTTATTCAGATATAATGTAACACACAAGTTAATCACTGGTATTATCTGGAAACATTCAAAAACTTTCATGAAAAAGCTTTTAATTTGCAGATTCATTTAGCCACAGTTAAACATTCATGTCATTGTATTCATGTGTCATACTGCTTTATAAATTGAATAAGCAGATTGGTATGTAGACTAGAGAATATATGACGTATAAATGAATGCTGCTTATTTGATTTAGGGGGCATGATTTACCTCTAAAAGTTGATTTCAGAAACATCAACTTGTATCAGATTTGTTCTGTTAGTCCTCAGTCTGAGCTCCATCTCCTGTCAGTCAGCCTCTGCCCGCCCCCTCTGACCGTCCCTCTCTGATGATGTGGGGTTTCTTTTGTCTCGTGTCTCTGACCTCAGCAGGTTTGTTTCTCTACCCATAATCCCTCTCCTGTGAGCGCCAGCATATATAAAGGAGGTGCGCACTTCGAGCCGCACACACTTCGAGTGAGGCTTCTAATAGGAATCGCACACACACACAGGTAAGGTACAAACACATACTGTATACCAACAGGTGTGTTGAGATACAAATCAGAAGGAAAAGGCATAGATTAAATTAAATTATCCACTTTATTTTAAATACCTTTTTAAAAATGTTACATTTATAGTCTTTCTTCTATCTCGAAACACTTTCACTGGTGCAAACAGGATTGATTTGTCATATCAAAGTTTCCACTCTTGTGATTTTTTTCTCTCTTTCCACCCAGCAATCATGTCCAGTGATAAGTCCAAGAATTCTTCCCAGACCGACGGAAAGGCTGCTCAGAGCAAGAAGTCTGAGATGGGAATGATGTCCTACAAGGTGGGTATCTCTTGCACAGGATATCCGGATATATTCAGGTTATCATATCACAGATAACTGACTCATCTGTGTTTATCTGTCCCTTCCAGATGTACGTGTTCGACCAGGAGAACTTCCAGGGTCGCATGATCGAGATCAGCAACGAGTGCATGAATGTGTGTGAGATGGGCATGGACCGTGTGCGCTCTGTGCGCGTTGAGTGCGGACCGTAAGTCTCAAAGAAGATTTTTTTTTTTTAGTAATTATATGCAGTCATCTTGCAGCATGGATGCTTCATAATATTTTCTCCTCTGCAGCTTCGTGGGCTTCGAGCAGATGAACTTCTGTGGTGAGATGTACATCCTGGAGAAGGGAGAGTACCCCCGTTGGGACTCCTGGAGCAACTGCCAGAAGAACGACTACCTGCTGTCCTTCAGGCCCGTCAAAATGGTACAAAAAAACCTGCTTGATTTCTTACTCACAAGTTTCTTTTTTGCTTTCGACTGCCAGCTAAACTAGTGTTTCTCCCTGTTTTCCTCTACTCCAGGACGCTGAGAAGCACAAGATCTGCCTGTACGAGGTTGGAGAGTTCAAGGGCCGCAAGATGGAGATCATGGATGATGACGTTCCCAGCCTGTTCTCCTACGGCTTCACCGACAGAGTTGGCAGCATCATTGTCAGCTGTGGAACGTGAGTGGTTGAAGCTGTCACTGATAGAAAGAAAATGTACCTACAGCATCCGGGGCTGACATGTTTCCTCTGTTTTCTCCAGCTGGGTGGGATACCAGTTCCCCGGATACCGTGGCAGCCAGTACCTGCTGGAGAAGGGAGACTTCAAGCACTTCAACGAGTTCGGTGCCCGCCATCCTCAGTTCCAGTCCGTGAGGCGTATCCGTGACATGCAGTGGCACCAGCAGGGCTGCTACACCATGGCCAGCAAGTGAGGCTCAGGGAAGGAGAGAAAGAGAAAGAGCGGAAGTGAGGGAGAGGGGCGGAGGAAGAGGGAAAGGGGGAGAGATGTCTGAGGCCTTACCCAGTGCCTTAAACAGTCGATGTGATAATGCAGTGAGGGGAAGGGTGAGGATCTAGATCTGTCCCACCTCAGTGGAAGATGGACCACCCTCCATCCCTCTCTGTCTACTCTTCTCTTTCTCCCCTATGGGCTGAGCTTTGCTTTCCCCCATTTTCTCCCTTTTTTTTAGTCCCTCACTTCATTCCCCCTCCACAGTCCTCTTATAAGCCAGAGAGGGAACAAGACTCCCCTTGCTGTTTTACCAACTTGATTCTCGGTTCAGGTATCACGGGAAACTGACTCCCTAGAGCCCCCCTGCCCCCGTCTTCTTACCCCTGTGCATTGCACACCCTCTCTGCTGTACAGAATCCTGGCCAAGTTTTCAATAAAAAGGAAAATCTTGATTTCAAAAATGTTGTTGTTGTTACTTATTACTAAAAGATCCCCTTAATGAATTGTAAATGACTTTCAGAAATATGTCAGATGAATCCCTTCTAAGTTATCACATTTCATGAAAAGTTTCATATTTGTGTTAAGAATTATTGTTATGCTTAATCGGGTTTGGAGAACGGAAAAAAAACATGTTGGTGTTGAAACTCCTGGATTGTGTAACTCATGGCTTTATAATATATCAACAGGAACCACCTACAACTCAGAATCTACAGTAATTGACTAAATGCTCCAAATGGCTTTTATGTGAAAGTCAGTGTCAAGAAAATAAGATAGTGGTTCATGTCCTGATTGTATGCAAGAAGTCTGAAGTGGCTACGGGTTTATGACAAAATTAGTCCAGATTCATCCAAAATATAATTTATAGAAAGAGAAAATAAACATTTAGGTGTGTTCTTTATGCAAACCAGACCATTTAATGATGTCGTGAAACCAGTAGGAGGCAGTAATGCAACTTAAATCATTCCAACTCCCAGAAAACCCAAAATTAAAGGTAGGGTAGGTAATTCACTTCAGAAACACTTGGTGTTATATTCCATGGAATGCTCTTAACATCCCGATAGCAATGAATACATTAATTGCTTTGACAATAAATATGTAGCCTACAAATATTTAATCTGTGGAAACTGTGGCACTGTAAAAAGCTAGACCAATTATCTGCCCCGGCCCGCGGCAGATAACTGGATGGCCTACCTGCCTTCCATCTCGTGCACAAGCTTATCTCGTGCCCTCATTGGTCATGTGCGCGTTCGTGTGTGTTGGAGGAGGGGCTCTGTAAGGATGTCAGAAGGAAGGGGCAGATTTATTTTGGTTGTGTACTTTCAAATTCTAGTGCACTCGAGCTGGTTTCTCCATTCTTACCTACCCTACCTTTAAAACGAAGAAGAGGAGACTCAAGTCAAACCCGCAATGATGGTGAACAGGTGAATGCTAATTGCTAATAATTTAACGGTCTTGGTGGATCCTCCAGTGGTGACCTTTGTAAAGTTTATGAGACCATTCAGCTATTTGTGACTTTTAATCCCTAGTACAGAACCTCAATAATCTTATAATGTTTACTCACGTTGAGTACAGTGGAACAGACAGAATAACAGAAGTTTGGAGCAGATTGGAGGACCGTGGACAAGGCTCACAGAAAAACCCGTCCAGATAGGTGAGTACAAACAACACACTGGTGCCAGAGTTCCCGTTAGAATATTTTTTTCAACGGTCAACATGTCCGTTAAAGTTTAAATCTTCCGGACTAAATGAGAAAAGTGCCGGTCAAATGTCTAATTTGTTATTTATTGTGCTTTAAAACAAATTGATATGATTCGATATTAAACAAACTAATTATAGTAGATTAACTACATTATTCAAAAGTGTACAGTAATTTACAATAACATGGGAATAATAAACGGAGCGCTCTCTCCCTCTCCTGACAACCCGTCAGTATCATGCAGCTCGCGGACCAGTAATGAGTGACCCGACAGTAAAACNGCAAAAATAAAAAAAGAGGAGTAAAAGTAGCCCCCGACTTGCTTTATTTTTTGAAAGTAGCCCTCATCCTAAAAAAGGTTGGTGACCCCTGTTCTAGGGAGATCGTCTCACCGTAGCTGTTAATCTGATCAAAAGACGTGTTCAATCACTTCAATGGCATTAAAACGAGAAAAAACGCAGCTGAATAGGTTAATCCATAGGTTGATAAAGTTCCTGGGCAATAATTGGAATTATTTATAATCCATAATTCCATTTTTATGTAAAAATTGCAGAG